GCACAGATGCAACAAGCAAGCACAAAAATGACTCATTAGGCCTTTTGTCGTAGTGCCCACAGCTGTTTCTCAAATTCTCAGGTGTGCCTGGGGATCCAAAATTGCTGGGACCTCCCCTTTAAAGCAATATATAATAACTTGTACCTTGACTTTTAGCTAGAGTGCAACCAGTCTCAACCAGTCCCTTGTCAACATTAACAAACACAACACATCTCATGAAGATATATTATCCCATTACCTTTTTAAAAATGAATGAATATACTATTAATTTTGATAACACATATATCAGTGATGCTCAAGAGGTCATTCTGGTGCTCTGCATATTCTGTTTGATTTATGTGGAGTTACTTCTTGCTCTTGTAGGGTTATATTCTTTTTGTTCTTCCAGCCTGCCTTTTGAAGTACTTCCTTGATTCCCTTTGGCTTGGTTGCTGGCAATAAGAGGTTTAACCCAAAATATGCTCATATTTTTGGCATTCTAGTCCTGCCTCTCTTGTCTTTGGCCTCCAAGAATGCTTCTGCAAAATGGAATTCAGACCCCTTGCCGAAAGATGTTCAGCGCCTCTGCTGTAATCCATCCAAACACCCAGTTTCTGATTACCAAAGATAATACATAGCAGGTATGCTAGCAAGTATGTGACAACTAGTTACAAATTGTCTTCACAACTCACCCCCCTCATAAACTAAAACCAATGGGTAAAAGGATATTTAGGTTTAATGAGAGAAGATGGTATTGACAGGTCAAGCCTGGAACATACGTAGTGTAACTCAAGATTGGCAAGACTAAACATTTCTTAATCAAGCAACTTACTTCCATACCTCATACATTTGGGCCAGTGAAGAAAAGCTGCATACAGAACTATGGATATTGTTCACACATACAGACTGATTGTAAGCAAACAAAAAAAAACCAATTGCATTAATAGCATGATTTAGTCAATATAAGGTATCATCCAATGGGGCCACTCTGCCTCCCCCGATTCCAAGAAGTGCTTCCTGCAATGAACTCAGAAACAAGCAGAAACACTTGTTCCTGGAACTGGGGTGATCAGCAGAGCTCTCTTCTACAAGGTCTGCTGATCTGTGCTTTCTCAGAAACAATTGTTTGGGCTCATTTTTAATTGCTTCAGTAACCGTTAAGTTCCCACTGCACAGGTTTAATGGGCAGGCAGTACTGGATACTGCCCATTGCACTGCAAGAAGCTTTATGGCAAGAATTTGCATACATCTGTATTCCAAATGTATCATTTCACAGTATCAGAGTATATGTGAAAGATGGACAGGTTAGGTTGGCCTATTTCTCTGCTACTGTGTTCAGATTCTATTTTAATCAGAGCTCTCTGGAGAGAAAATGTCAAAACTCAAGCTGGGTTCCAATAAACTCAACAGGACCCCAAAATGCTGTGTGTCATTTACCCTGTCCTTTTGAGTGTATTTAGTTAGGCAAAAAATAGAAAATAGAAAAGTAAATAAAAATAAAATTCTGATGATCGAACACTCAAATGTATTTTCCTCTCATTCAATATAAATTTCAGGGGTAAGGGCTTGTGAAAGAATAAGGTCACAAGATTCCCTGTGAGTAAACAGCTCCACAGAAAAGGTTTAGCTCTATTAGTCTTTATTCAAAGCAGTAAGAGCAACAGGATATCTTCCCCAACTAGGTGCCATCCAGATGTGAAGATCTATAACTCCCATCAACCAATAAGTAAAGCAAACAAGTTACTATCAATACTTCTAAGCAAGACACATTTGAAGATAAAACACAACTCAAACCAAAAGCAGGCTCAGAAAGGCATTCTAGGAACTGTACTTTTAAACCCACACGATTAGAACACGTGTTGAGTTGCTTTGCATTTTTTGGGAAGGACATACTGATATTCCTTATTGGAATCATCTCTTCCTAACAGCTTAATATGGTGGGAAAATACAAAGCTCTTTAAAAGAAAGAGCAGCTTCCATCCTGACTTCAAACAGCAAAGGTGTACAAAAGTAGTGGAACAAGCCACCAAAACCCATCCCTCTACTTAAGCATGTTTCAAGGGATGGCTGGAGAACAAACATCTCTAAATCTATGGTCAGCCTCTAGCAAACGTTTGGTGTCCTGAGCTAGAACAGAAAAAATACACTGCAGAAACTTTAGGTAATTTAGCCATTTTGAACGTGCAAAGTTCTACTAATATGAAGGTGGAGTTATCCATATAAGCTATTTCACTGCTCCTACCTCTTCCCATTTCACTTCATCCAGTTCTCCTTGGGACATTACGTCTTTTCTTCAAAGCGGAAAATCCCTGGAATTCAGCTTTTGCTCACTGCTATGCAATGATAAAAGGCACTGTTTTCAAAACTTCTCACACAACAGCTAAGGTAAAGTTACAGGGAGATCAGCAATCTGCAATGTCCATGGCAGACTTTTAACACCTTTAAGTATGCAGCTTTGCAAGTTAACTTACACACAGCAGAGAAAGGAACAAGGTTAATCCACCACCTCATTCCCCTGCTTGCACCGTAGTTCCACAATCCCCTGAATTTTCTAGAAGAAAAGGATGTAGGATGTAGCTCAGATTACTTGTTCTTTAATCCTTGAGTAGTAATCCAGACAGAAAAGATTGAGAGAAAATCCATAGACATTCAATCATCTAGTAATCTTCTGGAGTACAATTCCAAACTTCATGTCTGGGCAATAGAACTACCAGCACAAGTTACTGGGTTCTTATACTGGCAGAAACTCAGTGTGGAAATTCTGGATATACTAAAGCTTTGCCTGCCTCTGATGTTTGCTTGAGCTGTGGTGACAAAACACCAATTAAAGTTGCAGTCAATAAATGATGAACAAACAAGTATCCATACCAGCCTTTCCAGGAGCTTAGAAATGTTATTTAACTATGATGACAGCTTACTGATTGCATTTTCTGCCACTTAGAGATAAGACAGAGACCAGCAGTCTTTAGCAGTGGTGGCAAACCTATGGCATGCGTGTCACAACAGGCACCCAGAACCCTCTCTGTCAGCATGCAAGCCAAGTTGCGTCAGCATTGCCCCAGCAGCCGAACATATGCCTATGCATATGCACACATAGGGGCCATGCGCATGCTCAGAAAGGAATAGTGGTGCCAGGTGATGATGTCATGAGCCTCAACTTATTAGCCATGACTCATCCGAGCTTTCGTATGGCCAGTCAGTGCGCTGCCAAGGAGAGAGAGAGAGAAAGATTTGCTTCGACTGGCTGTGAGTTGTTTTTTCTAAACTAAACCCTCAGCTTTCAGGTTTTATTGCAGTATTGGCACTTTGCGATAAGTAAGTGGATTTTGGGTTGCAGTTTGGGCACTGTTTCTAAAAGGTTCGTCATCACTGGTCTATAGCATCCTATCAAAAGTTGGTTCATGGAACTTCTAGCAGGGGTGGTGGCCAGTTACGGATCACCCACCTTCAAGAACGTCCGTTAAATTAATCTTACCTAGCATTTAGAAGTCAATATGCAGAGTAGACTTATGTAGGTCTACTCAGAAGAAAATCCTATTCAGTGGGATTAAGAGCTTCTCTACATGAGGAATTTATTGTGATTCCTCACTCAAAGTAGTTTGTGAGAGTGTTACACAATGTTGTCATTTTCTGGACCTTTTTCCATGTTTTACAGTCATTTTCATGTTTGTTTTGAACAGAGTGAGGACAATCATGTATTATTTCCTAATCTTCTAATAAGATGCTATGAGAAATTGATGTATTTTTATAATTCTGCTGTATCATAGCTATACCACAGAGCCACCTTTGTGTAATGGAATATACAGAATATACAATAATACATGAGAAAACACTAATTTCTAAGGAGTTGGAAGTGTCTGCTCCAACAAAAACTACCCTCCATCCAGGCTTCCTGCAACAACTAAAACCTGCACGTTCTCTTTAAGTTGTACACACAAAATACAGGCATTCCACAAGCCCCTTCTAGACCTTAGCAAATTGCAGTACTACTTCAATCAACTTTACATCCTCCCCCATACCCAATTTCCCTACAATAACTAACAAACAGATGACAATACTGGGCTATACTGCAGAGTTGTCATCTGCTACTCTGCCCTCACCCCCCATCAAATGGGAATAGTCAGGCTACTTTGCAGAACTGCTATAACCACACTTTCTCAGCTAGAGCCCTGACTTCCTGTACATTTTATATAATAATGAACATTATCTGCATACATTTTAAGGGAACTTTTTAAATGTTTACTGCCAGGGCTTCCTGGAAGAGCAGCCATGAGAATGTACACTCGGATCCGCAGGAAGACACCTTCACCTTGAAACTCAGCAGGTTTACTGGTGAGAACAAACCAGTAAACCGCTCTGCAGAGTACAAACCTACAACAGTGTTGTAAGGTAGCAGTGTGCCAACCAACTACAAAATTCCAGAATATACACAGGGTATTTTATAGGTTTGGAGTCACTTACGCAGGAGCAGGGTTGATGCTGAGCAAATAATGGGCACATAATGTATTCCTAGTCAAAACAATGTGAGAAATCTGCAGAGGCGACCTAACACAAAAGTACAGCAAGTATCGGTGATTACAGGATGTTGGCATGACAATCTGAAAGGCTCATGAATCATTGCAGGTCTTGGGTGTGAGCTTGAACATGCATGATTACAACATGACAAGAAAAACCCGTCAGAGCAGCTTTGCTTCTGCTTGCAGAAGAATGGGCCCAATTTACTTTCCTTGGTAGCTGCATTCTGCAGAGCATTAACTTTGCAACTAACTATAGCAGCCACCTTGGGCGAGCAGAGTCTCAGTCTCTTAAAGGGGCAGATGGTAAAGCTTCAAAGAAAAAAGAGCCTTGGACTTGTAATTCTGGTTCTTTCTGGGCAACAGGAACAAGGACACTGCAGGTTTGATTTTATATCACAAAGGTACCTATTAGCAACCTTTCTCTATAAAGATTTATTTGGATTTCCCCAACAATACTGACTCAGAAAAAAAATATACAGGAGTTGGAAGGATCCTTGCTCTTACCTTTAGTTTTTGGTAGACACAATAACATGACTTCTGGGGGTAGCATTCACTTCCCGGGGCCTCACCACCACAGCTTTGTGACGAGCAGACACTGGTTACATTAAAGGTTGCTACGACTTAATTCATTGACTAAAGGACAGATTCTTCTTGCATGGAAAATGAATGAGCGGAACCGTGGCTGTACCCTTCCCCTCCCATCTCTGGTTCTGCAAGGGCTACAGCTTTTTTTGTAGTACAAACTGAGACTCTAGAGATAATGGATCATGGGGTGGGGGCGTTCAACTTCTCCCACCCTTCTGTGCACAAGCATGAGGGTTCTCCAGTCTACTCTTGAGTAGCCTGAATCCCTCACGGTAGATTGGTTTTGGATTCCTATCAGCTCTTTCCAGCACGGTCAATTCTGGGAATGTTGGGAGATGTCGTAGATTTGGGAAATCCTTTCCGTGGCATGGAAAAGCAAGCACCTTTGGCGCTATTTGCAGTATTTATTGCTGTTATTGTTACGTGCCGTCAAGCCGTCTCCGACTTATGGCGACCCGATGAGTGACTCCAATATGACCTTTCCTTGACTGACCTGCTCGGCTCTTCTAAACTGCCGTATTTGTGTCTTATGTGAACGCTGCGGTTACCAGTGCGGGATCAAACATGGTTGTTTTATGAATCACATTGCTAAGCCTTGAGTGTGGGAAAAAAAGTCTCTCAACATTCTCTGCGGCTCCCCGCCTTGTTCATCCCCGCCGCCTACACAAAAAACAAAGGCGAGCGGACATACATCAACAGTGACACCCCTATAACTACAACTAACACACTGAAGCCTTGCGAGGGACGCTCATCACCTCTGCAGTCGCCCGTGCTGATAAACTCGGATGCCGCAATTGACAGAGAGGGTTCTGGGAGATGTAGTCCCTACGGGTAACGATAACATCGCCGTGTCCTCTCTGACCCCATGAGCATGCTTTAACCGGCAGCACTTGGCTGGCCATTGGAGAGTACTCAAATCAAAGGAGGTTGAGTTTAACATTTTACTTCGTTTTGCATTCGATTATGGTTTTTATTTTTTTGCACTTTTTGTCAGTGGTCTTGGCTGATTTCCGAAAGTCAAAATAAGAACTAATACGGCCATCCTATACGCACTTACCTGGTTTCGCCACCGCACACAGCTTGCTAAGGGGATGCGATCCGATGCCTGCTTAGAAGGAAAAAAGACCTACAGCTCTCAGTCACGGCTGGCTGGGGCATACTGGGAGTTGTAGGGCTTTTTTCACCTAAACATGCCTAGGGTCTTGCCCTTAGCCGCTTAAGACAGCTCCTGTTCCATTTTGATCACTCACAGTGTTCTGGTTTATTTATTTATTTTTTGTCTGAAGTTCTAAGGGAAATGAGGTTTGGTCCTCTCCAGATTTCTCTGTGCTGTATGAGCAACGCTTGCCTTCCTTAACCCTATTAGCATTATATGGGGGAACAAAAGATATTAATGGCAAGAAAGAGTTTGAGTGGTGAGGCAAGAACCCAGAGTCACTACAGGAAGATGGGTGGGGTATAATAGGAACAGTATGTGTGATGGAATAAAAGGAGGCAGTAGGGATAGGACTGACAATTGTTTTAAGACACGGGAAGAAATGAACGTGTTTGTTTTCTGAAGGATAGGTGCACCTTTTAGACATTTTGGCACTGGAGCTCAAGTCATACTCTTTCTTAATGCAGCCTTCCTCAACTTGGTGCCTTCCAGATGTTTTGGACTGTAACTGCCAACATGCCTAACTCACTGGCCATGGTAAAATGGACTGACAGGAATGTAGCCCAACCTTTCTGGTGGTGGCTCTTAAGTATAAATCCAGACAGGAAGGGAGAAGGTAAGAAAGATGGTGTAAGACATCCATGTAACATAAATAGCAGCTACAAAATTAGCAAGTTATCCACTGTTTATTAGGCTTCCATTTAAGAGATGTAGGGGAGAAGAAATGGCAGAATGTCAGATACTTCCCAAAGTAGTTTCCAGCCACTGAGTGCATGTTTAACTTCAAGCAATGTGTTGATTCAAGCATCTGATGCTTGCTGGGTGTACTATTCCCATTCTCTTTATAGCTACTGGGACTGTCAAATGAACCCTTGGTATGGAGCAAGAAAATAAACGCAAGGACCTCCCTGGGGCTCCAAGATGTAAAAGATCTCTACAAGAATAGAATTAAATGCACATCATAGTGTCTAAATACTTAACCAATCAATGGCTTGATTTGCAACAGAAAAGATCCTCATATGGTTTCCATTAAGTATCTTCAAATCCATTCCAGATAAACCACCCACATGATATAAGACATGGAATGACTATTAAAATTGTCAGACAACAATGGTAAATGGAATCCTTTTTATTCCTTTCTGGTAAAGACAGACTCTTTTAGAAATTAAAAATAAACAGCCACCACATGCAGGATTCTGGAGTGCTCCTTTGGAAGGCAAGTTGTCCACATGCAGTGGATTACCATAATAGGCTGCTATTTTTCCTGTTCCTGTTTTTCTATTCCTGTTCCCACCTCAGCTATTTTACTCAAAGACCTGCAGTAGTAGTACTCCACCTGTGCAACACACTGATTGATACATGCAGCTGGTCAAGAATAGTGCAGGTGGGAAACCACCTTTATGGGAACCTTCTTCATATATAAAGGTAAAGGTAAACGTAAAGGTCCCCCCACCCCAAATGCTGGGAATGACTTGATGGCAAAAGAAGGAGACAGCAAAGGATGAGATGGCTAGATGGAGTCAGTGAAGTAGTCGGTGTGAGCTTAGGCGGACTCCGAGGGATGGTGGAGGAGAGGAAGGCCTGGAGGAATTTTGTCCATGGGGTCAGGATGGGTCACAACTAGCAACAATAACAAATGTAATCATGCTGGCCAGTCCCCATTAGCCATCTTGCTGCCCTGTTTTGGACCATCTTAAGTTGCTGGACTTTTTCAAAAACATCCCTATATATACACCACACTGCAGTAATCTAGGAGTAATTATCAGAAGATGGATAATTATAATTAGGCCATCTCTGTTCAGCTAAGGACAGAGTTGATATAGCAGCCTACACTCTATGCCACTGAATCCAACTGTGCTTCTACTGACAATGCTGAATCCAAGGGCACCCTCAAACTATAAACCTGAACTTTGAGGGGGAGTGGAATCCCCATAGAACAGGTTGAATGTCACCCATCCAGATAAGTGAACCACCCACTAACAATACCTCCATCCTGTCTGAATTGTTTCCTAGACCTCATTAATGTGCCTAGGCACTGATTTATTTATTTAAAATATTTATATGCCATCCTATTCACAAAAAAGCCTCAGGATGGCTTACAATGCAAAATATAACATAAATGACATAAATAAATTCCTGACCCACACTGGCTGTAATTAAAAACATAGAAAAGACAATATTAAAACTTATAAAAATACCACTGGAATAAAAAGGTCTTAACCTGGCGCTGAAAAACCAATAATGATGGCGCCAGGTGGACTTCTCTGGGGAGTGCATTCCATAGATGGGGCACCACCACAGAGAAAGCCCTCCTCCGGGTACTTTGCCTCCTATTACCTTTCACGGAGGGTTCCCAGAGGAGGGCCTCTGCTGCCAATCTCAAGGGGCAGGAGGGCAAATATGGAAGAAGGCGTGCCTTCAGGTATCCAGGTCCCAAGCCATTAAGGGCTTTATAGGTAATAACCAGCACCTTGAATTGAGCCCGGACTTCGATGGGAAGCCAGTGAAGCTGGTAGAGGACTGGGGTTATGTGAAAATAACACCCAGTCCCCGTCAGCAACCTGGCTGCTCTGTTTTACACCATCTGAAGTATCCGGACTGTCTTCAGGGGCAGCCCCACATAGAGCGCATTACAGAAATCCAACTGGGAAGTAACCAATGCATGAGTCACTGTCGTTAGGCAGTCTTCTCCAGGTAGGGGCGCAGCTGATGGATTAGCTGAAGCTGAAGGAAAGTGCTCCTCACCACCGCAGTCACTTGAGCTTCCATGGACATCTCAGGGTCGAGGAGCACTCCCAAGCTGCGGACCCTGTCCTTTAGAGGGAGTGCAACCCCATCCAGGGCAAGGTCCAGGCCACCTACCCAGGAGTTCGATCCACCCACCAACAGGACTTCCGTCTTGTCTGGATTAAGTTTCAGTTTAATTCAGAACACCTACTACCTTACCCTAGTTTGATGCACAGTTGAGATAGAAGTGGGAAGCCACCACACACTAGTGACACATCAGCCTGCACTTATCAGTAACCTCTTCCAGAAGTTTCATTGTTAGAAATTTAAAAAGCCCTGCTGAACTTCTTAGCATAACTCCTAAGGCACATAATCCATTAGTACCAAGTTCTGAGGTTGGCTACCCCCATATGAGCAGAACAACTCCTCAGAGCAGTGCCGTCAACCCTCAGCCCAAAAGGGTTTCAGGAGAATCAAGAGGGCTGCAGCCCTCTTGGCACGGGTAATTTTGTCTCTCACCCTCTGAAAATAGGATTTCTCAATCCAATCAACAAAGGCTTTTTTTTAGCATCTAGAAAAAGCAGGGTACCCATCTTTTAAAGTTTTTCATATTAACGTGCTCTGATTAATTTCTCAATACTTTCTTTTTAAATTGCCTACCTTTGTGTGCTGGCTTAGTAGCAATCATCTCCACTTAACATGGCCTGATGTGGAAATGTTCTTAGGCATTTGTTCAGGGCAAAATGACATTTTGGTATATAAACATGGCATGCACTAGAAGAATGTTCCTTATGTAGATTCTACTCTGGAGTTTATCTATGAATGTCAATCCATTTCAATCATTTCCACAGAGGTAGCTTTGTTAGCCTGCTGTGGCTAACAAAGTCTTGTGGCACTTAAAAACTAACATGTTACCTGTTTTGCTATTCAGAGTAAGTGCTTCCCTGTACCTAGGTTTGTATGTATATACTATGAAAACTCCCTTGCCTCTTTCCATCGAGAGGTCTAGTTTTCAACTTTAGCAAGTTAAAGGGTTTTTTTATATTTTAAAATATATGTCATAGGATACACAAAGCAGTTCTACAGAGCATTAGTCTGGCACGGCACGCCAAGTAACATAAATGAATATTAAGAAAAACCACAGTAATAAAAAGTAGAGCTAGTAGCTAGTGGGCATTTTCCAGGCTATAAATGAATTCAGTAATTTATCACTACTCAAAAATTCATGCAGTGCTTAAACTACTTCTTCAAAGAATCTGAAAGTATTTCTAAAACTGAGAAGTCACTAATTAAAAAGCCATTGTATATGTTTTTACTTAGATTTGAGGCTGAAGTGAATATGCTTAGTCTGAATGCCTTTACAATGAAATCTTCAACAAGGTGTTATGCAAAGACTTGAAAACTGAATTGCCTGGATTTAAAAACATTAAATATATTTTTAAGTAGCACAGCTTTCTTTTATCTGGGCCCACTTAATTGAATGTCTCTTCAGGCTAAGCTCCTTAGAACAAATATATTTGCAAACCATGGTTTAGAGTCACATCAAGGAGCTTTAGAACTAGCTGAAAACAGTTTCTCATGCCAGTTTCGCTCTCTTCCCATGTAGATCCCACCAGGGAGAAATCTGTTGTGTCTTGCATTCTGAGCCAAACTCCTACTAAACTGAACTCTACTTTCCAAGCCTTCCCCACAAAATCAGTAAAGTCTTTTAAAAACCACGACATTTTTCTACAAAATATTGTTTTGGATGTTGATTTACACCCAACAATGCAAGTTCATATAGCTCTATTAAACAAAAGGATTTCAAAGCCTAACTGGCTTCGAGAGAGATTTATCTTCCAGATGTATGACTGAACTGGTAATGCTTTTACTACTCATAAATCAAAGAAACAAAAGCCAAAATATAAGACACAATTCAAGGTATCTGCAACCATGATTCCCATCTACACACATTACTTGTCTTTCTTCTTGTGTTGAAAAATCTGTTCTTGAAGTAAGGGATGGTCAGCTAACTCATTCCCCAACTGCCGCCCACAGTCTCACATGAGTGGCCTGCTCCTCTTAGCCAGAGGCAGCAAGATCACTCCCGTTTTCAGGAGAGTCACAGACACCAAAGTAATCAGTTCACTGAGTTAAGGGCAGCAAGGACACTCAGTTAAACTAAAAGGGAAATCAGTCTGGGACTTATAATTCCAGGAAGCAGCAGACAGCTTGCTCACTTTCAACAAAAGATAAAGGAGTTACTCATTGCTAGGAAGATGTTGCAGAAGCAGTTCAATTTGAATGGGGATCCTTGCCAAGAAGCCTAGCAGGAACCCTAATCCTGTTATACAGCTTTTCAAAATTGACCTTCCTTTAAGGCAAAGGTTCTTCACATTATTCTGTTCTTGGATTGAGATCTTGTGGGATCTTCTAAAGGGTTAAGTGGAGATTGCAGGTGTTGGGTGGAGGAGAGGCAGGATCTATATGGAATATCACAATCTTTATCTTAAGATAGTGGCTCAGCCAACTTGGATCAGATTAATAAGTCTAAGAAAATAGCTCCTGCTGCCTCAGAACAAACAGAGATAAATAGGATATAACAACATCTAAAATGTTGCACCATATTATGTGCCCTATCTTGACCATAATCTATTTTTGCCTCCAGTATCTGCATCAACTGTTTCTCCTCCCTTGTGTCAGAGGAGGACAGGGCAATCTACACTTCTGAGGCATATGTGCATGAGAGAAAAAATGACTTATGCGTATCCTACAATGCATATCCTACTTCCACAAATCAATGTGTGGCAAGCTGGAATCTGCACCTCAGACCCTGGCTAGATAGAATTGTTGCTATGACTCACATAGTATTTTCAGCCTTCATGTATCTTGGCACAGGGAAATCCATGCTCTAATACTTATGGAAACTAGACCCCTTTTGCTGTATTTCCTTTAAGCTCCTCAAAACTAGGTCAGTGTATTTGCCAAGTGGTCTAAAAGCAAGCAATGCTGACCTTTCAGGCAAAGTAAAAACTTCAAATTGTTTCCAATAGTGTACATTAAGGGAACAATCCTATGCTGGCTGGGGAAGTTGAAGGATTTTTCTGTCTAAACATGCATAGGATTATGTCCTTTCTCAAGCACAAAATGAAAGTTCAGTTACAGTCCATTGCTATTCAACTAAGAAATACTCATCATGATATTAAGAACTCACCAAAGTAACTTGCAGGTGTGGGGAGCAGAATGGGACACTTGGTGTTCCAGTCTTTGTCAGCCAGCCAAAGACAAAGGTAGATTTCATCAACAAAGGTATTTCTATAGAGGTTTGGCAACTCCCATAAAGTAGATTAAAACTACTGACCAATCATTGGCCAATCATTGGCCCAGAAGAACCCCATTGTGCATCCTCCCGATGATGCCTGCATGTACTTATTAACCTAAAAATGAATCATGAATGTATGTGATAGGAGTCACACCTGGATGTGTAAATTTTACTGCCTACAGCTCTCATCATGCTCTTTCAATGGCGGAAGTCTGGGTTTGTCCCAATGATAAATAGCTTGTATAGTTCAAATGATCTTGCACAAGCTATTTGGAAAATTAAAATTGGGTACCTTATATTCAGAAGATCAAAAGATTTGTTACAATATGGGTAACGCACACACCTTGGGAGTAGGTGAGGACAACCGGTTTTTAAAATGGCCATTTTAACATAATGCTGAAAAATTAAGCTGTCAAGACCAAACCTTTGCATAGTACACCAACCATGAAGGCTGAAAATGCCTTAAGTCCAACAACACTGGAGTTCAAAAATCACACTGAAGCACAAATAAATGTAATGATTATAGAAACAAAAGACACCGGGCAAGGTGACAGTACTGGCGAGTCTTTTATTTTGCTGATGTCATAATAGCACTTGAAGTGACATGAGGCAATATATCATGCTTTAGTAAATATACCAGAGTGTATCAACACCCCCTACAAGAAATTGTTTTCTACCAGTTTAAGACAATATCCAAAAACTGCTTTCTTGGTGAATACTATGGCAATAGAACTCATTTCCATTTGATATAGTAAAAACACTTCCCCCACTTCATCAGTGCAATCCTGTGGCAATGCCTGCAAGCCCCCAAAACTAGAGTCTTACAGGCTTTCTCACTCATCTAGCTGGAATGACTTGGAGGAAGAGGGAAGGAAGCTTGATTGTTCCCTTCATGTAGCTGAGGAGCTTTCCTTCTCTCTGTGGATGGTTATATTTGACAGTGAGTAGTACCATTCACAGAATACAGTAACGTTTAGTATTTGGTGGTACCTTCATAAGAGATATGAAGCAATTTAAGCATTTAAAGTTTAAAAGGCAGTGGCTCTGTAGTCTATGGCATATAGTAGTCAGAAGGTAACCCTGATGATTGCTATTTTCAAAACTGTAAAGATGCATTTGCAACCTCAAATATTTAACACTGGGTGTGTACAGCAAGAATAATGCAAATGCATTCCTGTTCAGAATGTATTATTAGCTCCTTCCTATGGACCAAAGTGTGGTTTCATTTAGCAGCATCTCTGATAGAAAGCTCAAGCAGAATACCATATCTATAGCCATGATCATTTGCCTGTGACCAATGTGGGGTAGGTGTTTGTATTTTTGTTGATCCTACATGAATACTGAGTAGTAAGAGATTCCAGGCCAATATTAGTTTTGAACAGAACAAGCCAGATACATTAAATGATTCTCCATGGGCTGTGTTGCTAGTTCTACCTTTTGCTAACCCAGTAACATATTCTCATATATATATGTGCATTACATCCAGTTTCTACACAAAAACATAAAATCATTAAGAATAAAAAGAAATCCCTCTACATGATAGCACCCTGCAACCCCCCAGAGGAATGAACATGTTACCTCTTTTTTAAGCAGAGTGCTTTAGAGTTACAAAAGCAAGTGTACAAATCAGCCTAACACAGTTTAACCTTTAGTATTTCCAGAGAAGGACATACATTCTCTTGCTCAAATTAAAAATAAATAAATAGAGGCTTTCAAATGAAAGCATATGTTCTGCTAGCCACTCTGAAGTGGAGCCTAAAAATTCTTTACAAAACCCACTTTCGATTTTAATAATCTACTTGATGCCACAACATTTCTGCTCCAACGTTTTCCTAAATCCAAGTGATACTTTCCTCCTGTGAAATATAACTAGAGCATTCATTTTTATTTCCAGATATTCAGTCTGTTTCCATGGCAACACTCCGGGATTCTTTGGCTACCATGAGTCGCATTAGTTGACTGTGGAATTTCTCAATCTTCTTTACATCTTGAGCTTGGTCTGTCCTATAGAGTAGACACTGAAAGATAAATGGGTGTAGGAGGACTTATCAGGGTTTCTTTCAATTTATCTGAACCTAAATTTAATATCAATTTACATAACAGACACCAAGAAAGTGCATTAGACAAGATAAAATTGCACTGGTATAGTACACTGTACTATATAGGGTGAAATTGGTTTTTTACCATGATAGTTTTAGAACACAACTGTTCTGCAGCATAGTTTGGTGTTTATAGTGCAAGTCAGACTGTTGTAAAACAAATTCGATTTAACAACAGATTTAGGTTAGAGCACTGATGGTTGTGAGAACAAAACTACGTATATAGCAAAATAGCCAAATACAGTTACTTGGTTGACAGTGGTACAAATACAGTTCCACCACCACGTGCATCCAAGTGCACAGTTACTGTAAATCCTACCAAACTGAGTGGGACTTCTTCACAAGCAGTGCGTGGAACCTGTGGCCCGAGTATTAAGTACGGTTACAAGTAAAACAGATATTACGGATGCAAACAAACTCAATCTCCATTAATGTATATTATTTTTCATGAACTCTGGTTGTTCACCCTCAAGAGATGATTAGGATTAATATTATATCTCTGTATCACCCCACAGTGAAGCTCTCTGGGTGATTTACAACTTTTAATTATTATTAAATAATAAAAATTAGACCAGTCTCACTTCCATGCTGACCACTCATCACAGATCTTTTAGAGAATGTTATGGCTACTTTACACTAGCCATTAGTATATCATCTGAAGCTAGGCTCAACACTATTATTTTCTGAGTGGAAGTAAAAAAGGTATAATTCTGTAGATTCTTCTTCCATTAAATAAAATCCTCTTCAACAGTATATATGTCTACTTAGGAATGAAGCCCCACTTCGTTCAATGTAACTTATTCCTAGGCAAGTGCTATAGGATAGCAATCTAAGTTTATTTTCACATTCACCAGTAGTCTAAGACATAATTAATAATCTTTGTACTATGGACATGGGCTTATGATCACTCAATATTCAAGATTCAGAAGATTAATACTGCTGGCAGATGAAAATCAGAGTTTCTTCACTGATAGATATTCTAGAACAAGGTCAGGTTGTAAAATTTTATCTCACATACTGTATTGGGCCATCAAGGCTGCTTTCCATTAAACGTTTATTAAATCAAATGTAAAAACTTTAAAACATCACCAGCAGAATTAAGACGAGAGAATCTTGAAAAGAGTGTAGAGCTAATGCATTTAAAATACTAAAAAACAGTGAAGGGTTTAAAGATCTACATCAACTGAGCATAGAATGAGACAGCCTAACCACCTGTGAAAGAGTGTTCTGGAAAAGAATCAGTGCCACAGAAAAGGCTGTATTTCCCATGTCCCTACTACTTTAACTTCTCTTGGTAATAAAACATGTAGAAGGACATCCAACAAGGATCTTCATTACAGGCAGGTTTTTATTTGGGAAGAGGTTTTATAATACTTGCTAGGCTAAGTGTGAAATTCCATGCATTTTTATTCAAGAGTCCTACTGTATTCAATGGAATTTCACTCACTAAGTGCATTGAGGATTTTATCTAATCCCAAGGACCCCTATCCTGCACCCACAAACAATGGCACTGCAATCCTAGCCCTGTGAAGGAATGCCAATGTGGCACATATGGGCCCTGAATTTAGATAGATAGATATATAGGATATAGATAGATGAGTTTTAATATATATTTATGGATGTTTGTGAAATGCACACAACCTAGCATTATACAACAGCTCCAACAAAAATAGACCAATTATTCAAATAAATATCTGAAGATGATATTTATTCACCACCCATTCATACCTCAAAAGTGTTATAAGGTCCTCTGTACACTGCATTACAGGAAGGATTGTTTATCCTTCCATTTTGTAATATCAGTTAACTGTTCCCTTCCCTTATAAAACCCATGGACACAACAAGTAAATGCCAAAGCAGTAACCTATTGATTAGACAGTGTGGTAGTGCCCACAGCAGCTTCTCAAATTCCCAAGTGTGTTAACAGTTCCAAGAGTTGGAGACCCTTGATCTAAATGATGCCAATTGAAAATGAAGCTCATTTTCAAGTCCAACAACATAACATTTGGAATAGAACAAGGATAATTAAAAAACAAGTGCTATTTGTAGAGCAAGGAACTTCATTTGGAGTTTATTGACACAAGGGATTTTTTTTAAGTGAAATGAGACAGTATTTGGGGAGAGCAGATTCTTTTTCTTTCTACTATTGTGTTCTAGATTTGGATTTTGCACAGGTCCAAAAAGGAAGGACCTGTTCAGAATAAGTTCTCTATTTACAGCCTCATGATTCCATTTTCCCCCTCAATTCTGATAAATGATAAAACAGTACAGTTGGAGAGGACCAGAGGGCGATTGGGGTCCAACCCCCTGCTCAGTGCAGGACTCCAAGTTAAAACATCCTTCTCAGACAGCTGTCCAGTTTCATCTTGAAAGCCTCTAATGTGGGATAGCCCAAAACCTGGCTTCCTTATCTTGAGCCTGTCATTCAGTGTCCTGCACTTTGGGATGATCGAGAAGAGATCCTGGCTTTCCTCTTTGTGACAACCTTTCAAGCATCTGAAGAGTTCTATCATATCTCCACTCAATGTACCCCAGGCTAAACATACCCAGTTCTTTCAATCTCTCCTCATGGGGCTTTTTTCCAGTCCCCTGGATCATCCTTGTTGTCCTCCTCCAAACGCTTTCTAGTTTGCCAGCATCTTTCTTAACTTGTGGTGCCCAGAACTAGACACAGTACTCAGATGAGGCCTAACAAGTGCTGAGTAAAGGGGAACTAGTACTTCACAGGATTTGGAAGTGATACATCTATTTATGCAGCCTAAAATAGTATTCACCTTATTTGCAGCCACATTAGAAGAAAGAAAAAGAAGAAAGAAGTCCTTTCTTCCTATTTCTCTACATTTCTATTTCTCTCTCACCACAGCTTCTCTGTTGCGCTGTAACTGCCACTTAGGAATTAGAAAGACTTCCTGTACTTAGGTCTGACAGCAGCAATGAGCCACAATAGCACAAGTGAACTATTCAACAGAAATGTTTAAAGGCAGTAAACTCTGAGCATCAGGTGACTCTGAGCAACTAACAGCTGAGCTAAATGGAAGATACAAACAATTCTCATAGTCTCATAGAGCTTCTCTAACTTATACAACTATGGCCAGGACTAGCCATCCTATCAACCAGAATGCCTAAACAGCTTAATGATTTATACTATTGCTTTATATATGCAATGCATAGGAATATATCTGCCCAATGTTCTCATTTCAAATGATGAGCAGAACAGAAAACAGAGGAATTGGCATCCCAAAAAATGCACATGGTAACTCTTAGGCAAAGTGTTTCACACTCTCAGCATCAAACTACAAAACCCTTTCTCCAAAAAACCCCATCTCTCACTATAGTGCTACAACCATCCATGGAAGAATTGCAAGATAAAGGTTTGAAGTCAACCTCTATGGAACCTGGAAGATGCCAATAGTCTTACTATGTGTTCATTTATATATAAACTAAAAGGCAATAGAAACCAGCTTCCAATTTCAGTGGATCAATGTCACTATGGAGATCTTTCTCTCTTCCTCTGTAAGTGGGACAGCCTCTAGTGCTAATTTTCAACTAAAACAAAATGCAAACTGTTTGGTTTGATCTGTAGATATTTAAATACCAAGATTCATACCATGACTGTTTTACTTACAACAACATCATCTGTTACTTTGATGCACAGATTTCCATCACAGTGTCGGTATTTGAGTACCACACGCACCTGAAAAGACAAGTACAGGTGTATTTATTTTACAAGTAAATAAATGACATCTATATGGCTATAATTTTCACACAATAATTTCAAAAAATGATAAAGTATAACTTTACCAGGCCTTGAAAAATATGGCTGCAAGAATTAGTAACATATGTTTCCTTTATTTAGTTTAGTGAGGGAATTCTCACTCAAACACTGAGAATGTAAAAGCATATACACCAGAACCAATATGTGGATCAGCCCTAGAAAATAATGTATACATAAATTAGAGGTTAAACTCCAAACTAATCCAAGGGATAGCACATCATATGGAAGGGACAAGGGACATGTAACCACCTAGATACTGCTCAAATCCAACTTCCAGCAGTCCTAGCCAGCACAACGGTGAGGGTCAATACAAGCTATAGATCAAAATATTTGGAGGGCCACTAGATACTTAATCCTCTTAGAAGATGCATAACTAAACTTTGTACCATGTGGTTGCATTTACTACAACCCAAAATACACTATTGCTTTGAGGGCAAAATTCACATAGCAGCTTTGGCATGAATCTTTGACCATCCTATACTAATAAGCTAACCAAAGACTCTGCCAAATAGCTATGCACACATGAATTCCACATAATTGATTCAAAGTAGAACAAGCTAGCTTAATATAATGTAATATAACATAAATGTTATACAATGCAATTATTCCCAAATGAATGCCAACTTGTCTATTTCGAAGTATGTGATTTAGGAAAGTAATGTGAATGTGTGCAACAAAATCAAGGCTCTCTTCAACAATAAGAAAATGAACCAATCTATCCCCAGACAAAAGCTGGAAAAACAACTCTTTAACCAGTTGAAGTGCAGATGATGATGATTGTTATTGTTGTTGTTGTTGTTGTTGTTGTTATTATTATTATTATTATTATTATAACATTTCTATGCCGCCCCTTGCCGAAGCCTCGGGGCGGCTTACAACACAATAAGATACACTGAAATACAATAGAACATAATAAATTACCAATAAATACAAAAAATACACTGAGATACAATAATATAAAATTAAAATTAACAGTATAAAATAAGTACATAAAGAATATAGGAGGAGGAAAGAGAAGGAAGAAGAAATTGCCCTGGCCAGATAAGGCAGCAATTACTACTTCAAAATGTTATACTGAGTCATAATTCCAGGGTCACTAAGCCTGGGCGTTTTACTCAAGCCAACGCACCCCAAGATATGCTAAACAAGCCAGTCTCAACATAAGAGCCACGCCGGGTCAGATTTAGAGTCCATCTAGTTCAGCATTCCGTTCATACGGCGTCCAAGCAGCTGGCCCCACGAAACCCACAAGCAGCACAGGAGTGCAACTGCACCCTCCCGCCCGTATTCCTCAGCAAGTGGTGCACTGCCTCGGATACTGAAATCAGTACTAGTACCCATGCCATGAGGACTAGTAACTATGGATAGCCTTCTCCATGAGTTTATCCAATTCTCTCTAAAACCAACGAAATTGGTGGCCATCATTACATCTCGCAGACGTGAATACTCTAGTTTGCCTATGCTATGCGTGAAGAAATCCTTCTTTAATCTGCCTTGAAACTCCCACCGATCTGCCTCCCCAGCTCTGAGAGCAAGGTCTCGTCACCCTTCGCACGGGGCCTCTGTGTTCCTTGCTCCCGAGCAAGCCCGGCCACGTACCTTCATAGGATCGGACAAGTAGAGCTTCTCGGCAGCGCGAGTGAACTCCTCCCAGGTCTGGTAATGCGGCATGGCAGGTACACTTCCACCCACACCAGAAATGTACAACTCAGCGCTCCGCCGAACAAGCAAGCAAGATGGAGAGTCGAGACGGGCCAGACTTGAGTAACGAGCCACATCATTGGGCTCAGTGCGGACTACCACCAATAGTAGAGCGCGTTGTTCACTGGTCGCCTTCTCCAGTTCCCGCCTCTTCCGATTGCAAGCCTGAAAGCCTGGGTGGGGAGGCAGAAAGAAAGTAATGCTGCCCTAGAGCGAACGTGGTCTGCTTCCGGAGCCTAGTTGCCACGCGGACAGAGCTGAGCTCGCAGCGCCCCCTGACGGTGTACGAAGGAAACCTCCAGTGCAGCTGCAAGCATTGTCCCTAAAAAGCTTCGAAGGCCGTGTCCTTTCTGGCAAAGGGGCAGAAGTGGTCATTGGTTACCGCTTTGCCCAATCAGAAGGAGCGAAAAGGCTGCGTAGCCTCCACTTTTTCCCTTGCTTTTCTGACATTGGCGGAGTAATTTTTCTACATGGGATTTCCATATAACGTATCTACTCTCCCCGTTTGCATTTATAACCTACTGAAAGCGGGCAGGGAAAGGAAAATGCAGTTTCTTAAATGATTGGTTGATTAATCAGTAGCTATCAGGGCTCCGTTGTGCGTTCACTCCCCTTTACCGTTTGGGAGTCTAACATCTCCATGTAATTTTGTGTGAGAGGGCGTCTAAATTTGGAAGCAGGACTAAAATTGGCTTCTTGAGGTCATGGTGCTGTATACAAGGGATAGGTGGACTTTAAGGAAGGTCTAGATCTCTGCATCGTTTGCAGTAGGTAGGGGTGGTCTAGGTCCCCAAAAATTGGAGAGCTCACAGAGCAAAAAAGCACAGATTTGCCTATGCTAGTTTACATATCTCCTGAAGTCTGTCTTTGTGTGCATTTCAAAGCGCCTGTTTTAAACTAAGGACACCCCTAGGTTTAAATAGAAACAGAAAGGAAAGAGGAAGGGAGTTGATTGGGGGGCAGCACTCAAGGTTGGAAGGGGGCAGTAGGGAGTGAAGCACATGTGGGAAAAATCCAGGTACTTCAGGGAGATCAGATGTAACAGAGATGGTCAGGGCTTCTGTACCTTTATTTCAGCAAGTGCCCATGAACAGCAGGGTGGTGGAACAGATGGCTTCCCAGAGATGCATGGCCCCAAATGAAAGTATTGGGCCAGACCTGGTGGGCCATCTAACATGGACTCTGGCAATGGATCAGCAAGGGTCTCTGAATCCCAGTGGCCTAATGATAGTTACAACTAAAATATTCCACCCCACTCCCACTATTAGAAGTAGATTTTATGACCTTAGTTCTGGTAATGTTCTTAACAGCCTGGGCAGAGCACATGCTCAAAATAGGTACCATATTCTGCTCACCTGAACCAGGAACTCCAGTTGATGGACCTCAGTTGCAGTGTTTTTAGTATTTTTTTAAGTGGGGGTGGGGAATAGTAGATTCCATGGATTTAATGTCAGCCTGCCCTTCTCTAAAGCTAATCCTGCACCCTATCGAAATTGTTGAATGCCAAATCAAATGTACATTTAAATGTGCAGTTGCTACATTAGTCACAATGTTACATAAATGCAGCCAGAAGGCCCAGAGATTCCAATGGTACAAGCAGTCAGAAACTTTGCTTGGGAAAGCAAAGAAGCAAAGCAACTTGGACATAATGCAGTGAGTCAGTTTCAATTATGCTTATTTTGATAGGATCACAACCTTCCTTGAAGTGCTACAGACTAAAGACAAACACAAGGGCTGCCATCTGATTAAAGGCATCGTAAGTCAATTAATTGAGTTTTGGTTGACTAATTGATTAAATCTGCATTCATTTGCATGTGAATAACATATATTCTGTTTCCATTTTTTATGATGGCTGTATGTATTGCTGCACAGCATTGATAGAGTTGTTTTTGGGAGTTCTTTTGGTAAATACTTGTATTAACAATAATTAACAGGGTTTTCTGGGGAGGGGGGAAATCTGCCTGATGAATGGCAATGAGGAATTGTTTAAGTTAATCAAAAGGTTTTTAAAGTGATAAATCTACCCAATTAATCAACTGAACATTGCAAGCCTAAGAGTTTAAGTTCAAAGAGGTTCACAGGCACACTCTCAGTTTGCATCATCGTCTGCTATATAAATTCTGTTTCAGCTCTAGTCTGCAGACGGGGTTCTGGAGGATCCAGTCATCTGGTGTAACATCAGGGGCAGAAGGCAGCAGAGGCCGCCTCAATTCTCTCCTCTTCCCTGCCCTCTTTTGTTTACACATTTTATTTATCGATTTCATTTCTATACCTCCCAATAGCCAAAAGTTTTTGGGCAGCTCATGATAATTAAATTGAAAAGATGCAATAAAAATAATAAATGCAATAAAGGACAGATATAGGAATGCCTGTAGGAGTTGAGGTCCTTTAAACATATGTCCCCTTGTGTGCATATTTGCACCCTTTTTTTTGTGCTGTAGGCCTCTGTCCCACATCTTTTCAGCACCTAATACCACTCCAGGAGGGTAGAAAACAGCCAGGAAAAAGCAAACTGCCAAGCATGAATTCAGTACCATGAACTCAGACCCAGGAAAAGACATGCAGCAGTAACACCCAATAAATACCAAATACTTTATATACTGATTGGTACACATGTTCCTAGCGTTGGTCCATCTTACTTAGTATTTTTTGCTCTGACTGGCAGTGACTGCGGGGTTTCGTGCAGAATTTCTTTCCCAGCTTCTCCTGAAGATGTGGGGGTCTGCATGCATAACTTTCGCTCTGCCACTTAGTGATGGCCCTCCTTAATTGTAACTCAGAAGTCCCAAGATGGCAAGAAGAGTGGCAAAAAATGAAAGCACAGGGCAGCAAAAACAAAGAGGAACACTCAGAAGTTATAAGTGCCTGTCAAGGGAAATGGACTCAGGAAGAAAAAAAGGCAACAGGCTTAATATAGATTCCCACTGGACTTTTCCTCCTGTCCTGGGTATGCACTCAGCTTTGGAGGTACAGGAAAGTGTAGTCCACTTGCTGAAATAAGTTTGACGTCATGGAAATGCTGTAGAGCCAGGCTGTGCAACTTGTGGCTTTCCTGAGGTTTTTGTCTGCTTCCAGCATCCCTCACATTGGCTAGGCTGGCTGGGGCTGGTAGAAGTTGCAGGCCAGCCCCTGAGTATGTGGCCTGCATTGGGCAGGAATATGTATGAAGAATGCTGGCAGGAGCTCTTGCTAGAACTGAGTGAGTCACCTTAGGGTTGTTGGAGCACAAGTGGACCAACAATCTAGTTCATCCCTTAAAAAAAAGATTCCCTCATTGCAGGGGCAACAGAATGAACCCGACAGTCCACGAAGCACAGTTCTAACTGATTTCAGAAAATCTGTACACCCCCTCGAAATAATATCAAACAATTGCACCATTGATACCCAATGCACCAGTGATACCCTTATTTACTGTTACGGGGCAGTAAATAAGCGAAGCTAGACCACACAAATAACAAATGCATTTTCTTGATAAGCTCCCATCATCCCAAAGGAAAGAAATGGGAAGCACAAGTAGGCAGTGTTCTAAAAACTTGTCTCAAATATGTGCCCAAATATTTCAGAACTGTGCTCACTTGCCCTTGTGCAGCCAGAAGAGATGCTTCATTAGCACAGGCCCGTGTTGGCCAAAAATGTGTGACTGCAAGGAATACCAAAGGAAAGCGGCACTGGACCACCTTTCCCATTGTTCTCAAGAGAAGAATGGTTTCCTCATAGGTAGTTGAACTGAGAACACCTTCAGGGTTGGGGTGTGAGGGTTAACACAACTGGGGTGTTGTATACTTACAGAAAACCCTATGGGTGGAGCCACACCTATTAATCATTCTTAAGGCCAATATGTATACAGTTCCTGAGCTTCAGCCCCACTAATGCAATGCACTTCAAAAATATTTGCTGGGCAGTGTCTCTGTATCCAGTTGTGACTTTCCGGAGCAGGGATAGCCCTACAATTAAGTCAATGTGTGATGGTTGCCCGAGGCAGCTTCTTGGAGTACCATGAAAGGGCAGCCAGTTCTTAAGTCATGTGTTATGATTGTGTTTTTACTTCCTACAAGAAACTTTTGTGAGGTTTTCTGCCTTAGATGTCAAAATTACGTAGTCACCCTCGGGTACCATCTGACTTACCTGGGCCAGTGGGCACCATTTTCTGTTTTCAGAGCGCAAAATAACTGCGAGGAATCTCCCCATTCACTCCGTTTATATGGCATATGTTTGAGTCATCAGCAGTGGTCCCGATGAGACAACCTACCAAAAAATATCCTTCTGCCCACAATGTTTCACTTGAACAATGAGCTCACTATTTCTTCAGGAACTGGGCAGCATCTCAGCACTGTTTCCACCTAGTGATGCTGCTAGGTGCATGACTGGTGATGATATTAGACACACAAGACCAGAGGAGAAGGAGAAATAGGGTTTAAACAAGCATTAGGGGAAATCACACTGGATATCATAGAGAATATCAGATCAGAAGGGAAAACCAAGGCAGTGGGTTATGAAATAAGCATTGTGCTAGTTCCTTAACCCGAGATAGGTATTGTCCAGGCTGACATGGGGTACCAGTCCTGCTGAAGATAGACCAGGATGAGGAGAAAGGAGGCTGAAAAGGGGTAGGCATTTTGGGAACTCAGGCACAGATACTTTTCTGTTGCTCAGCTTATTAAAACTGGCAAACACAGACAAAATTATTAGGTTGGTTTGTGGGTGGGTGGGTGGGTGGGTGGGGGGAAGGTTTTATTTTAAATTTGCTTCACGGTTTCCTAAGCAGGAAGACCCCTTATTAAACAAGAACATGGCCATCTGCGGAAGAATTTTTTTTCTTTAAAGATCCCTTCAAAAGAAAAACCCACAGATTTTCCCTTCTGCCAAGAGATGCTCCCTATCCAGCCACAGCTATTTCAAAGACTTGACTCTGAGGAGACATGTGGCTTAGTCTGAAGCTGAAATGAAAGCTTCATGTTTCAGCAAGAGGCTGGAGGTCAAACAATTACAGAGATCCTGCATTTCCTAGGTGCAGTTAAAGCTGATTAAAATACATTTGGAG